ATAATAATAATAAGAAGAAGAAGAAGAAGAAGAAGAAGAAGAGCAATAACAAAAATAATAATAATGTCATTCTCAGAGCATTACATACAGCTGCTGACTGAGGCCTACATTTTTTTTCGGATAATGTTGAGAATAAGAGCGGCTAGGGGGAATAGAAGGGAGGCAGAGAAAGAGATAAAAACAAGTTAAATGCGAGTTAGGTAGTAACCCCACGTTAATGATATCAAGCAGCTTCCGCTACTCAGGTGGACGGCCGTCGTCCTCCTCCTGCCCCTCTACTCCTCTCCTCCTTCCTCTACCTCCTCATCCTTGCGAGAACCAATCTAAAAAGTTTTGTTCTCACGGCTAGCGAGCGTTCTCCGCGCCCCCGCGACTGGTCCCCCGAATCCCGCCGCGTTAAATTGCTGGGATGACTGACTCGGGGAGGAAGAAGGGGGGTGGGAGGGTGATTGTTGGAGGATGGGGGGGTTGGAGGGCTTGTCAGGGGATGAATCGGTCGTTTATCATGAAGAGGCCAGCGCTTGGCGGGCGACTGGCACACTTTTTCAATTTAGCACACTTTTCCTGACGCATAGCCGCTTTCGGACGCGCTGATGGAGGAGATCCTCGGGCGTTGTAAGCGGAGTGGCACACAGGAACGAGAAGGTGCCGTGGCTGGAGCTGTAATTGCTCAGCAGGCAAACATACCGTTGGCATATTAGTAGGGTAAGATGCCCTATGATGGCCACCTTAAGAATGGGCCTGCCCAATGATGGCCACCCCTTTTTCTTGTATAATGTAGACAACGATGTGAAGTAGTTTGGCTTATTCTGCCCAAGTAGGGAACTTACTAGAACACTACTTCAAGGCCAAGATTGTAGAGTGACCAGATTGGCTGGAAATCGAGAAAAGTGGCCATCAATGGGCAGTGAACTGTCAGCACGCAGCGGCCACAATAGCACCTTACCCTATATAATCGTTACAATGCCTGTGGTTGATGTTGCAGGTGGAGCTGGAGGGTCTGACCGGGGACATCCGGTTCAACGAGGCGGGTCGGCGCGTCAACTACACGCTCCACGTGGTCGAGATGTCCATCAACAGCAACATCGTTAAGGTGAGAACCCTAATAGCAGACCACTTTTTGTTTTTAGTTTGCTTTTTGTTTTGAAACTTTGTTTGGCTATATATGTTCTACCTACAACGCCCTTGTTTGGCGTCTTCTACCTACGCACGATTCATTTTTTCGAAAGCAGCAAAATGACAACCACAACAACAGCAGGTCGTGTGTCCCCATCACTGGGCGGCGCCGGCCTACACGTCTCCCCCCCCCCCCACTTTACTCCCCATAGTTACTTTTACGTCAGCACTCACTGACAGGCTCGCTATGGCCTCGGTCGGGGCGAGCAGAAGCGGATCCGAGCGGCGCCGAGTAGGGTGTAAAGTGACGATGCGATGAGGTGTAGAGGACCTCGCAGAGGACCCGTCCCTGCCAGCCTGTCTGTCCCTGCGGTGTTCCTCCGCGCCAGATTTCGCCTGCGCCGCCTCAGCGCCCCGCGCAGCACGCTCGCCTTTTTCCATTTTTCATCTTAAACTAGACAGCTACTAGAGATGGGGCGGAGCGCAGTTTAAAGAGGAAATAATAAAGTTCAAAAGAGGTGATGAGGAACGCCGAGGAACACGTGTTCGCCTCTATAAGAGATATCTGTTTTAATTTACTTTGATTTATTGGCCTTGGAAACAAACTGAGTTTTGTCTGCTGGTCAGTAAAGCGTGGGCATTGGTTTTGCTCTTGTAACCATCCGTTTCCAGTCGGTATCCGCCGTGCTCTCCCATGTGGACGAGCCCCCCCCCCCTCCTTCTCTCTCTTTCTCTCGCGAAATGCAATAAAGCGCACCGCAAGCGTCTTGATTTCCCCGCGTCTTTATTCGTTTAGCGGATGCCTCACTCACGCCGCTTTCTGTCTCTGTCTCTCGGTTTTCCTCCTCCCTAACTGTAGGGGGTCATGCCCCTCCCCCCCTCCTCCCAGCAGTCTCACCGGAAATTAAGCTGGAACAAACAAACCCCGACCAGTCAGTTAAGGCGGGCAGGGGCCTGGCCGGTCGGCTGGGGCAGTCAGAACCGCCAAGAAGAAGACGACGACGGCGGAGAAGGGGGATGGTTGTAGAAGGAGTCCCCCCCCCC